AAATTCTCTGTAATGGTGGTAACGATTTCAGAAAAGTTCCCACGAGGATACATGCGTTCTGAAAGTACAAAGTATTATGTATTTTATAATCAAACGAATCAGGCCAATTCAACAGCAAATATATTGAGAACAATTATGTTTTTCACTTGCAAAAGGTTGTTATTTCAAATTTTCGTAATGGAAGAGTAATATTGTAAAATTACGTAATAGATTTAATTTTTGTACCAAAATTATATAATTTAAAGTTGTGTAATTGATAATACACTTTATTATTAAAATATATTTTCAACATTTTTCTCAACACGTTTATTAAATATTTTTCTATTATATATTACTTATTATATCCACTTTTGTTTGGACAGCAGTGTCAATGTCTAAATCCTTTTGCATTACCCGTTTTACAATATGAATGATTTCAACTAATCCATCAAATTGTATGGTTCCATCAGGTTGATTGTCTCGGAAAAATCGTTTTATAAGTATCTATTGTTATCGAAATAAACATAGACATTAAAATATGTATTAAAATTTACAACTAAAACATTTTAATGGACACGTTAAAACGTAAGTTTAATTTTCTAAAACAGTAATTCACATTTTGCAAATAACAGCAAAAAGCCTCAGAACATTCATAATCATAAATATTATGTACTTGTTATACATACAAGAGTAAATTAAACCAATTTTACACAGAATAATTGAAAGTTTGGGTACTTCAAATACCTCCGCAAAAAAACACCTAACTAACCTTTAAACTGTAATATAGTAATCATTTTAGATTTTTATTTACCGTCGCTCTACCGTCACCTAATATAGATTCGGCGCAATCTATAGCGTCGTTCTCCCTATATATAAAACCTGAAAGAACAAAATTTTATGTAACAATATTTTTATTTTTTATTGTTAAAGCAACTCTATAAATCGCAAATTTAAACAAAGCATAGTAAAAAGAATTAAAGTAAGGTGCACTGTTTACAAATGAGCATCAGAACGTTTTTTTTAATGGTTTCTTTTCTGAGAGGACTACTACTGTAGGGTCGAGGTATAATGGAATCAAAGCATAAAGGGGACAGAGAGAACCCACCAATACAGGAAATATTTTTAATAAAAGTCGTGAAATCAATAACAAAAGAACACTTTCATGCTAATTTGTAAGCACTAATGTGTTACTCAACACATTTGTTGAATATTATCCTTTTTTTTATTACCTGCTATTCTCCGTTCTAAATCAACAAGGCTAGAAAGTTCTCCAGTTGCATTTGTTGCCCGTTTTACGTGGTTAAATAATATTATGAATTGTCCGTAGGTTAGGACCGCATTTGTCAACCATAAGCCACCGACAATTCCTCTTATTATAGCCTATTGTTATAAGAATAAGAATTAGTCAATTGTATATTAAAATTTGCAAGTTAAACTGATCCCTTTTTAACGAAAAAAAAATGCCCAACTACCAGACATATTATATGGCTTGCAAATATTTTCAGCAAAGTAACATAAATTTCATAGTAGTTCAAGTTTTTTTTTTGTTATTGTTATCGATAATTGGTTATAAGTGAAAATATTACTTAAAAAACTCTTTGGTGCAAAAATAGAAAAGGGAAAACATTAAATACATTTTCTACATTACATTAAATTTTGTTTAGCAACAATCTCAGCATTTTTTATTTATCATAAATAATAAGTACTCATTATACTTACACGTTGTAGATCACTAGGTGGACCACCTTGACATTGCAAAAAATACAATGCCACGCAAAAAGACAGTGTTATGGTTTTTAAAAACATTTTAAATATTCAAACAATTAACTAGGGTCCAGAATATTTAATTATTTATTTTTTAATTAAAAACGGTTTTTAAAATATTCGATTATAGTTCTTATAACGATTTTATAATGTTATTGGAATATTGTATTATTGCTTGATACCCGCAGTACTTACTACAAAAAAATATACCAGAAGAATGAAAACAGTTTGAAACTATTTAACCGTGCAATTTGCCTTAAGAAACAGATACTTAAGAACGTTTTTATTTGCGTTGTATGGCATTCTGTTATTTTTTTAGGTATTTACCACATTTAAAAATGTTTAAGTATGTGCAAAATATATGCATATATTGTCAACGTTTATTGATAGTGTCCCATCTAAAGAACATATCTAGAATGATCTAAAATGGGACAATAATAAAACAAACAATTATCTTAAAAATCGATTGTTAATGTTTTGTCTAAGAAAAACTGTGAAAAACAATTTTAATACCTAAAAAGAGTGGTCAGATATTTTTTTCCTTTGGACCGATTTACTTGAGTATCTTTTCTATATATCCGAAATAGTTTGCGTGGATCAAAAGTAGAAAAATCAATTTCTTCACTACCAAAAACCAAAAAAAATTGCCGGTTTTAGACTTTAAACTCACTAGAACATAGCAAACTTAGTGAAAAACAAAATACGAATTTTAAAGTTGTAAATTTTACTGGCTAAAATTTCGAGAAAAAGGGTAGGATTTTATTTGAAAGTGATTTTATTCACTTTCATCAATTGTATTTATAATAATTCCTGTAGACTTGAGACCTCTCCGTCCCTCTATGCTTTGATTCCAGTGTGCCTATACTGTACTGTACTAGTCCTCACGGAAATCCCATTCAAATTAACGCTTGAATGCTTATTTTTAAGTACAGCTCTTCAACTAAATACTTTTTAACTTTGCTGGTGTACACTGTGCTTGGTTTGGACTGTACTGACTTAAAATTACCATCCACTGATTCGTTTTTTCGAATGTGGTATCACTTTCAGATTTAAAACATTTCGGTAAACCTGTGACCTCCCAGTCCTAACTATGCCCCGACTCCACCATGCTTTATCCCCACTATGCCCCGAATCACTGTACTGGCATTTTAGTTTTCCTTTTTAAAAACATTTACAAATAATTATTTCGAAAACGTATGTGTGAAAAACATTAAAATATACAATAAATTATAAAACTACCAAAACATTGATATCAAAGCGTACGACATGAATGGCAATGTATTTTTTTTGTATGAAAATAACAGAAGTTTCATGAATCTAAAAAAAAACACGTAAGGCTGATAAAAAATGTCTTTCTTCAATAATTCTAATTTTTAGATTTCCTTTTTTAAAACATTTACAATTACTTCTTTATGGAAACTTATGTGTCGAAAAATATTTAAATGAATATAATATACATTATATAACAGATGTTATTCAAACTATATAGAAACAGAGTTTTTAAAGTATGACGCAAATGGCAATATTATTTGAAAACAATTGTCCAACTAGACATGTACATGCGCCCTTTTAGTAACCATAGTTTTAGTTGGACCAACATAGTATTTTTCAGGGAGTAACTTATTCACCTTAATTTATAGATTAAATAATATATTTAACATTTTGCGTTCGAAAAATATCAAAAATATATGACAATAATTTCATGATTCGCTAATCAAAATTGTTTAATCAGTCTTTTTATCAGGTTTTTAAAGCATTATCATCGTATCGATGTTACTCGTTTATTGCTAACGAAATGATATACCTGGCACACATGTTTTTTAGAAAAATAATGTTATTTTTCAAATAACATTGCCATTTGCGTCATACTTTAAAATCTCTGTTTCTATATAGTTTGAATACAATTTTTTTAAATAATGTACAAAGTGATTTTCTATCATGAACCAGTTAATATCATACGGGGTTTAATTAATAATTAAATTCTTTTTTCCATATTGTTTCTATATAATGTTATCTCAATTTTTCACAATTTTTTTTTTTGTTTTTCCCCCCCTCCCAACTTAGATTTTTTAGAAAAATTGAGATCACATTGTATAAATATAATATGAAAAAAAAAATTCAATTATTTTGACACATAAGTTATCAAATTTAGTAATTGTAAATGTTTTTAGACAGAAAAACTAAAAATTGGAATAATTAAAAAAAAAGTGTCATATCCTTAATGAAGTATCTGTATTCAACATACATTTGATATATCTAAACTCAATGGTTTAGATGTTTATATACTACTCTCCTAAACAGAAAAAATATATAGTTGGTTAGGTAAAGTGACACATATATATCTGGTGCAATAACTAAATAAATAGTTGGCTCAACTAAATGTTAATAGGACCAAATTTTTAAAAACTCAGTCCAACTAGAAATATGTTGTGCCCTTATAGTTTTAGTTTTAAGTTTTAGTTGGACTAACTTTGTATTTTTCAGGGAATTACTTACTCACCTTAATTTATAGGTTAAATAGTATATTTAAAATTTTGACTTATTGCGTTCGAAAAATATCATGAATATTTGTAATACTGGACAATAATTTCATGCAACAGTAACCAACATTTTGTTTTGCTAACGAAACGTTTTATCAGCTTTAGGTGTTTTTAAAATACACTGTTGATATTTTCCAAATAACATTGCCATTTGCGTCCTACTTTAAAAACTCTGTTTCTATATAGTTTAAATAACATTTGTAAAACAATGTATATTATATTCATTTGAATATTTTTTGACACATAAGTTTACAAATTTAGTAATTGTAAATGTTTTTAGATAGAAAAACTAAAAATTGGAATAAAAATAATAATAATTTTTAAAAAAATGTGTCTTATTCTTAATGAATCATCTGTATTCAACATATAACATATATTTGATACATCTAAACTATTGATTTGCATACTACCCTCCTACGCAGAAAAAATATTTAGTTGGTTCAACTTAAACTATGGTTAATGTAGGAACACGATTAATTTATAGATGGCCGTACTAAATGTTTTGTTGGAACAACTTTTTTTTTAGTTATTTCAACTAGAAATGTATTGTGCCCTTATAGTAACCATTGTTTTAGTTGGACCATAATTTAGTGCTACGATAACCAACATTTTTTTTTGGTTACGAAATTATTTATCAGCCTTTGGTGTTTTTTAGATACACTGTTGTTATTTGTCAAATAACATTGCCATTTGCGTCATACATTAGTTGATCAGTTTCTATATAGTTCGAAAAACATTTGTTAAATAATGTATATTATATTTGAGGTAAGGTGCATTTCGATAGTATTGATGGCCTGTCTTGCCTGAGTGAGCATCTTTTTTATCGTCATATTGAACTGCTAAAAGCGTGTTTCTTAATGAATCATCTGTATTCAACAAAAAACATATATTTGATATATCTAAACCATTGATTTGCATACTACCCTCCTACGCAGAAAAAATATATAGTTGGTTAAACTTAAACTATGGTTAATGTAGGGACACGATTAATTTATAGATGGCCGTACTAAATGTTTTGTTGGAACAACTTTTTTTTTAGTTATTTCAACTAGAAATGTATTGTGCCCTTATAGTAACCCTAAGTAATAAAATAAAGAATAACGACGTGTAAGAGCAAAATTATATATTAATCAATTAAGACTTCATATTTGTATGTGACATACAACATAGTACATACATGTTAATTTAAAAACAGTTAATAATATAATCAAAATTGTAAATTCTTTGCAATGGTGGTAACGATTTCAGAGTAGTTCCCAGAAGGATACATGTGTTCTGAAAGTACAAAGTATTATGTATTTTATAATGAAACGAATCAGGCTAGTTCAACAGCAAATATATTGAGAAAAATTATGTTTTCCACTTGCAAAAAATGATTAATTAAAATTTTCGTTATTGAATAATAACAATGTAAAATTGCGTAATACATTTAATTTTTATGCAAAATTATACAATTTACAGCTGTGTAATTAATGATACACTTTATTATTAAAATATATTTTCAATAAATTTTGAACAATTTTCTCAACATGTATATTAAATATTTTTCTATTGTGTATTACTTATCATTTCCGCTTTCAATTCGACAGCTCCATTAGTGGATGTTACCATTTGCAATGTATGTTTTACAACACTAATGATTCCAACTAATAGTGAAAAGTCTATAGAACCTTGATTTAGATTGCCTCTTATTAATGGTTCTACAAGTTCCTATTGTTATCAGAATAAAAATAGACATTAAAATCTGTATTAAAATTTACAATTAGAACATTTTAATGGACACGTTAAAACGTAAGTTTAATTTTCTAAAACAGTAATTCACATTTTGCAAATAATAGCAAAAAACCTCAGAATTTTCATAATCATAAATATTATGCACTCGTTGTACTTACAAGAATAAATTAAACCAATTTTACACAGAATAATTGAAAGTTTGGGTACTTCAAATACCTCCGCAAAAAAACACCTCACCAACCTTTAAAATGTAATATAGTAATTTTAGTTTTTTATTTACCTTCACATTAATGTCGTCCCCTAATATATATGTGGCGTAAGTTAAAGCAATCTCTTCCGTAAATGTAGAAGCTAAAAAAAACAAAATGTTGTGTTACAATATTTTTATTTTTAATTATTATACCAACTCTATAAATCACAAATTTTATCGAAGCATAGTAATATAGAATTTAAGTGAGGTGCAGGGTATACAAATTAGCATCAAAGCGTTTATTTGAGGGATTTTTTCTGAGAAGACTAGTACAGTATTATAAATATTAGTGTATATTATAGTAAATATTATTAATAAAAGTCGTGAAATCACTATCAAATGAACACTTTCGTGCTAATTTATAAACACTGCAAATCACTTTAATTCATTTTAAGTATGCCGGATTATACTGTGCTTGGTTTGGACTTACCTGGTTTGAAAATACTAACTACTGATTCACATCGAAGGGTTTATCCGAAAGATAATTATTTAATTAGATCACAATTTATGAGTACAATTTACCGTTTAACAAATTATAAACTTGATTATTAAAATGTCTTTTCAATAAATTTGTACATTTAACTCAACACATTTGTTGAATATTATCCTATTTTTTATTACCTTCTAGTAATGTTTCTAAAGCAAGGCGGCTGGGGAGATCTCCATTTGCATTCATTGTCTGTTTTACGTGGTTAAAAAATATTATTAATTGTTCGTAGGTTAGGACCGCATTTGGCACGTATAAGCCACCGACAATTCTTCCTATTGTATACTATTGTTATAAGAATAAGAATTAGTCAATTGTATATGAAAATTTGCAAGTTAAACAGATCCCTTTTTAACGAAAAAAAAAATGCCAATTAACAGACATTTATATGGCTTGCAAATATTTTCAGCATAGCAACATAAATTTCATAGTAGTTAAAGTTTTTTTTTGTTATTGTTATCAATAATTGGTTATAAGTGAAAATATTAATTAAAAAACTCTTTGGTGCAAAAATGGAAAAGGGAAAACATTAAATAATTTTTTAAAAAATAAGTACTCGCGTTATACTTACAACTTGTTCCTCATTAGGCTCATTAGCAACAACTTGACATTGCAAAAAGTACAATGCCATGCAAAAAGACAGTATCACGGTTTTTGAAAACATTTTAAATATTCAAACAATTAACTAGGATCCAGATTATTTTATTATTTATTTTGGAAGTAAAAACTGTTTTTTAAATATTCGATAATAGTTCTTATGACGATTTTATAAAGTTATGGTAATATTGTATTATTGCTTGATAACCGCAGTACTTCCTACAAAAAAATATACTTGAAGAATAAAAACAGTACCAAGTTTGGAACTATTTAACCGTGCAATATGTTTTAAGCAACAAATACTTAAAAACGTTATTATTTGCGTTGTATGGCATTCTGTTATTTTTTTAGGTATTTACCACATTTTAAAAATGTTTAAGTATGTGCAAAATATATGCATATATTGTCAACGTTTATTGATAGTGTCCCATCTAAAGAACAATATCTAGAATGATCTAAAATGGGACAATAATAAAACAAACAATTATCTTAAAAATCGATTGTTAATGTTTTGTCTAAGAAAAACTGTGAAAAACAATCTTAATACCTAAAAAGAGTGGTCAGATATTTTTTTCCTTTGGACCGATTTACTTGAGTATCTTTTCTATATATCCGAAATAGTTTGCGTGGATCAAAAGTAGAAAAATCAATTTCTTCACTACCAAAAACCAAAAAAAATTGCCGGTTTTAGACTTTAAACTCACTAGAACATAGCAAACTTAGTGAAAAACAAAATACGAATTTTAAAGTTGTAAATTTTACTGGCTAAAATTTCGAGAAAAAGGGTAGGATTTTATTTGAAAGTGATTTTATTCACTTTCATCAATTGTATTTATAATAATTCCTGTAGACTTGAGACCTCTCCGTCCCTCTATGCTTTGATTCCAGTGTGCCTATACTGTACTGTACTAGTCCTCACGGAAATCCCATTCAAATTAACGCTTGAATGCTTATTTTTAAGTACAGCTCTTCAACTAAATACTTTTTAACTTTGCTGGTGTACACTGTGCTTGGTTTGGACTGTACTGACTTAAAGTTACCATCCACTGATTCGTTTTTTCGAATATGGTATCACTTTCAGATTTAAAACATTTCGGTAAACCTGTGACCTCCCAGTCCTAACTATGCCCCGACTCCACCATGCTCTATCCCCTCTATGCCCCGAGTACTGGCTTTTTAGTTTTCCTTTTTAAAATCAATTATAAATAATTATTTTGGAAACGTATATGTCGAAAAACATTAAAATGAAAATAATATACATTATGTAACAAATGTCATTCAAACTATCTAGAATCATTGATATTAAAGCCTATGACATTTTTTATACAAAAATAACAGAACTTTCATGATTTAAAAAAAACACGTAAGGCTCATAAAAAATGTCGTTAGCAATAAACAATTTTGGTTAGCGTTTCATGAAATTATTGTCCAATATTTCAATTATTTCTGATATTTTTCGAAAACCATAAGTCTAAATGTTAAATTTATTATTAAACCGAGTTTTAGGTCAGAAAATCATTGATGAATAAGTTTCTTATTCAAAGCAACCCGTTCAAATAATAAATTACATTAGCACAAGATGGAGTTTGTGTTACCTATAAATAAAGGTGATTAAGCAACTCTCCCAAAAATACAAAACTTGGTCCTAATAAGAGTATGCTTATTAAAGGGGTTCAATAAAATTCTAGTTGAAATAAATATTTACCAAGTTGTTCTAACAAAATATTTAATTGGGCCAACTAAAATAATCGTGTCCCTACATTAACCATAGCTTAAGTTGGACCAACTATATAATAGTGCGATATACAAATCAATAGTAAAGATATATCAAATATATGTTTTATGATGTATACAGATAATTCATTAAGCATAAGATACTTTTTTAAAAAAAATTATTCTAATTTTTAGTTTCCTTTTTAAAAACATTTATAAATACTAAATTTGGAAACTTATGTGTCAAAAAAATATTCAAATGAATATAATATTATCCATTATTTAACAAATGTTATTGAAACTATATAGAAACAGGGTTTTTAAAGTATGACGCAAATGGCAATGTTATTTTTAAAAAAACAACACATAATATTTATGGATCACGTAAGGCTGATAAAACAACTCGTTAGAAATAAACAATTTTTACTAGCGTTTCATGAAATTATTGTCCAATATTTCGATTATTTCTGATATTTTTCGAACACAATTAGTCAAATTGTTAAGTATATTATTTATCCTATAAATTAAGGTGAATTAGTTACTCCCTAAAAAATACAAAATTGGTTTTAATAAAATAGTATCGTATTTACATTATTAATTTTTTAAATGAAGAAAAATATGCTGAACATTTTGACAGTTTTGGATAATTTGTTAAGTTAAGTTATGACGCGAGGGAAAGGGCGGTTGAGTAATGCGCGCAGATAAAAACATCTTTTGCCCCAACAAACTTTTTACTGTGACTGCAAGTGACCGAGCATGCTGTGCCGGAATCATGAATCACAGTACCAGGGTCTAAAGAATACACCCATAGGAGTAAAGAACTATAGAAGGCTCTTTATCATAATAATGCTGGCCGTTGTGTTTGAATTTTCTTGGCCGTGTGGCAGTTGATGGTTGCTTGGACCCTGGTACACAAATTTGCAATCTGACTAACATCTCGTTACCCTACGCCCTACGGCAACAACACGTATCTTGGCGACTTCACAGATTATTGTCAGAAGTTGTCAAATTTTTTGTAGGGAAAACGGCGAATTTTCTGAACCCATGGATTGCACGCGGTCGGTTTTTTCAGTCAAAACACATAATTTTTATTCCATTGCACAGACCATGAACCAGTGATCCGATAAGCAATCTAAAAGCAGATTTGAATTTGCCATGAAGTTTACTTATGATCGGTCAGGGTTTTTTTTAAATTTAAAATTTTAACCCTTTCCAAATTTGATTTTAAAATTTGAAATTTTGTATAATGTTTGAACGTGTTTTACACATGGTAGGAATAAGATATCAAAAAAGTACCCTGACCGATCGTAAGTAAACTTCATGATGAATTTAAATCTGTTTTCAGATTACTTATTGGATCACTGGTTCAGCCTGTGCGATGGACAAAAAATGTACTATTATATTAACTAAAATTGTTTTTACTCACAGACAAAAGAATTTAAATTAAAAATAATACCATGAAGCTTATTCAAATTAACCGGTTAATTAATTAACATGATCGACATTTATTAAAACCACTTTTTTCTTAAATATTGCCTATACAAAACTCCTTAAAAACCAACCGCATGCAAACTCCTTCAGTAAATTATTATACCTAGGTTTAGGTTAGTAAATCATTGATGATTAATCTTATTAAAAGCAACCCACAAAGATTCACCGAAATCTGTTATTAAACCGGGCATCCCTTATCAAAAAGATACTACGTATGGGAAAGATAAATAGCTGATGGTAGGTAAACCCTTATTGTTATTAGTGATAGGTTATGAGCCTTTCATGTATAATATAATTTATTCATTTTCTAGTTAAATAAAATATAAAATGTTATATTTTATTAGTTATTATTAAAGAAATTGACATTTAGCGGTTTTTTTTAAAGTATTCTTTAAAAAATAAATTGATATTTATTTATAGAGATAATTAAAGCTTGTCATTTATGACAATTTATTTATCTAAGTTTTTTTAATGTTACTCTAGAATTTGAAGAACAGCTAATCATAATAGTTAATAAAAAATTGAAATAAGTAGTTAAGGGGAACGGAAAGCGCTATTTATTAAGGGGCAAAGGATAGGCAATATTTGATCTAATAGCCATTTTTCATATGCCTACTAATTTCAAGGTGAATACATATTATAATTTTCTAATTTTAATGGTATTATATTCGAAATGACGAAAAGTCACATGTTATGTCAAATAAATAACAAAAATCTAAAGTAAATGAGTTTGTTCGCATGGTCACAGACACATTTACTGAAAATTTAAATTAACTATAAATAATGTTTTATATTAATAGTGAAGTGAGATTTAATAATTTTTACCATCTACAGATTTAGATCTTTCACATTGAAAATATTTTTGTTCAAGTTATATTATTCAGTTATAAAAAATATTGATGTCCTCCTCGACATCACTAAATGCGCGATGCTCTAATTGTGTTGGGTTTTTATTTATTCATACAAAAAACAAGTAACGTTAAGTTTGTTTAAAATACAAAAATATTAAAACAATATTCACAATAATAATAGTAGTAACACTGTAGATAAATTATAAAAGCTAAGAACATTGATAAAAGAACAAAAAAATTCTGGTCAACAATAATAAACAGTTATCGATAGTTGATCATGATTTTCATCAGCTTAACGGACCTTTAAGGCTCATCATGAGATAAATGGTTATCGATAGTTAGGTAGGGTAATTTTGAGTCCCGTACTTTCTTTGCCAATGGAAGCTATTTGACATATGTTGCACACGTTGTCTTTATAGACAGGCTGGAAATATGAATTAATTGATTCACTTCACCAAGCTCTTGTTTAGTGTCAACATACAACAGTGGAATAGACAAAAGAATAGACCGGAAATTGGCTATGGTCTCTGGGAATTTACCGGCTGTAGTCAACTGGTAGCACGATTGCAGTTCACTGAGTAAATGTTCTAGTTTTAGGTCTAAAACCGGTTTGTTATTGTTTTCTTTCCAATTTCTTTGGGGATACACAAACAAAGATGGGTGAGAAGGTAATGGGGTGTATGAACAACGAGGTTTTAGGTACGTGTCCATGAACAGACTTTTAAATGGTTGGAAATTGGTCACTCCGATCTGCTCGTTTAATAACTTAAATGCAGTTTCGAAGTTACCCGACTTGATGTAATCGATAGGCAATTGGCTATTAGTAGACCAAATGTGGGCTTGACTGGGTCCTTCTTTAGGTGCAATAAAATAGTCAGCATCTTGCTTAGAAACAGCGATATCGGGAGGCAGCTTTACTTCTTCATCGCCAACGTCCCATCCTTCTTCACCAACTGCCACAGCCGCAACTTCTTCTTCAGCTTCTGAATGAGTAGGTGAAATTCTTCCCTCTTAAGTTAAGTCAGCTTCTGCGCCCCAACCTTCTTCTTCAATGTCCTCACCGATTGTTGTATCAATAAGATCAGAGGCTTTACCAGCTGACAAAATGGCACCTTCAAAGAATCCCTTAGATACAGTTAACAACGGCCAATTGGATTCAGCTTGACTAACAGGTACTGGTGGTTTCAACAATACGGCATTTGGGTTTACTTTTGGTAAAATTCCTGTATAACCCTCTTTAATGGATCAGCTTCAGCGTGCAAACCGTGGGTTTCAGCGGTTAGGTAGGCAAGAGATTTGTGACCGAGATCATTCAATATCTTAATCCTTTCATGACAATCACCCAACAAAAGAGCTCCTTGATAATGTCCAGATACATCTTTACGTATTTCAGCAATTTT